ACCATTTTCAACCTTATTCCCTTGCCGGTTGTGCAATCTAACTTTACAACCGACCGCACAGCAAGTACGAACCATAACTGGTGTTATCCGTGTACTTTCGCTCCTCTTTCGCTAGCGCTTTGTTCGGCCCAGAAACATGGCGCCTCAACCAAAACTACTGGCCACGCCCCCTCTCGTGACATCACTCTCCACTTCCGGTATTTCAGACAATCCCTTTCCGTCAAGGATTTTTAATTTGTTGCGGTTTTTTAATTTGTTGTGGTTTTTTAATTTGTTGTGGAGTTTTAATTTGTTGTGGATTTTTAATTTGTTGTGGTTTTTTAATTTGTTGCGTTTTTTAATTTGTTGTGGATTTTTAATTTGTTGTGGTTTTTAATTTGTTGCGGTTTTTTAATTTGTTGTGAATTTTTAATTTGTTGCGGTTTTTTAATTTGTTGTGAATTTTTAATTTGTTGTGGTTTTTTAATTTGTTCCTGTTTTTAAATTTGTTGTGAATTTTTAATTTGTTGTGGATTTTTAATTTGTTGCCGTTTTTTAATTTGTTGCGCTTTGCACTTCCCAGCCACCGTAGTTTCTGTACTGTGACATGAACAGAAGCCAGACTGAAACTGTTCGTACAAGTTATTTCCAATGAGATGATGATGAACCTGTACAGCCACAATCTTTTCCAGAATTTTTACTAAGAAAGGGAGATGTGAAATTGCCCTGAAATTATTTAGATTGGAGGGATCTGAACCATTCTTTTTCAGTATTGGGGTTATTATTGCAGTTTTAAGAGAAGAAGGAACAGAACCAGATATAAGAGAGGAGTGTATGATATTAGCAGTCAGTGGGGCAAGAGATGAGAGCGAGTTTAACAAGATTAGTCGGCAGTGCATCAAGTTTACACGATGACGACTTTAACTTAGTAATTATGGAAGATAGCTGAATAATTGTGGGAAGTTCAAAATTGGATAGAGGGGATGCCAGCTGAGAAGGACAAAAAATGTAGAAAATGCAGATAGAACAATTGACCATATCACAGGACGAGGACAGTTGTTGATAAAGATTCTCAATGTTGGTTGCAAATTTGTTGCAAACTGTGTGTATGCATACACAAAGAGTGTGTATGTATGGCAAAGATATCTGGGGTTTTAACAATATTATGCAATGTAGTAAACAACGTGTGAGTGTTTCCTTCAGTGGAATCAATAACAGAGGTGTAGTAAGCAGATTTAGCATGATAAATAGCTTCTTCATAATGTTGTATATGACTGAGATACATGTCTTATGAATAGTAAGTCCTGTTTTCCTGGAGAGACGTTCCAGGCGGCGTCCAGGAGCTTTAAGTTGGCAAAGTTCAGATGAATACCACGGAGCAGAGTGAGAGAAAGAAATAGTTCGAGTTTTCTGGGGAGCCAAGGTATCTAAGAGGTTGATAAGTTCATTGTTATAGTGAGATACCAGGTCGTCTATGGAAGCTAAGGCATCAATGGTAGGTAAATTATTAATGCCATAGGAAAGAGCTGACAGATCAGTGCCCCTAATATTTCTAAAAGTAATTGAGCGGTTTTGTTTATTTTTGTATAGTGGGAGACTAACACTCAATAAAACTAATTTATGATCTGAAAAAGGCATGTCCAATACAGCACAGTTCTTTGGGGTGACACCAGTACAGCAAACAAGATCCAAAATGTGTCCTTTGGAGTGTGTGGGAACGTCCATAAGAGCGATACCCGTTTTCACATCAAAAAGTCATCATAAATAAGTCTCCAATAACTCTATAAAAAGTTGCCAGATTTGTCGCTAGTCACTTTTTAGAAAAAAAGTCACTAGTGGGGTCTGAAAAATCTCTAAATATACTGACAAAGTCGCTAAGTTGACAACACTGAGGGGACCTAGCTTCTATCGGATATTTATATAGAGATCTTCCAGCTTCAAACTGTATTACCCTTCAAGGACCTGCAGTTCAAAAAAGCACCCCTCCGACAGCCAAACCCATCTGTTCTCTGATTGGATAGTTAAATTTGTGATTGACATGACATTGACCAATCAGCTGAAAAGAAGAAAAATAGGGTCAAAATTCATGCTTGTATGGGGTGGCTGTAGCTCAGGTGGCAGAGCAGGTCAGCCACTAATCAGAAGGTCGGTGGTTCGATCCCAGGCTGCATGCCAAATATCCTCGGGCAAGATACTAACCCCATGTTGGTGGTGGTCAGAGGGCCCGGTGGCGCCAGTGTCCAGCAGTCACACATCTGTCAGTGCGCCCCAGGGTGGCTGTGGCTACAGTGTAGCTTGCCATTACCAGTGTGTGAATGGGTGGATGACTGGATATGTAAAGCGCTTTGGGGTCCTTAGGGACTAGAAAAGTGCTATACAAATGCAGGCCATTTACCATTTTTACTTGTATTCACACGTATTTTTTGGCAAAGTCCTCACACAAATCTTTTTTACGCACACACAAATTCTTTTTACACATACAAATCCTGATTTACAAGTACAAAATATTTATGAGCCCTGGTTTTTTCGTGAGGTTTCGTCCTGTGTTGTTTATTATTTGTGTGTACTTTGTGTCCCCTGTTTGCTTTGTTATTCTAAGTAAATAAAATGAAATTTAATCTGTTATGTTATTTAATAAATTTATTTTGTGTTTATATGAAAATAAAACTTTATTTACATATTTATTAATGAACAAAAATGAAATAGAAAAAACTGAAATGAAAAAAAAATACATTAAAACTCCTCAAATAAAATAATCAATGATGCGTGTGCTTGTACTGCCATGTTTTGGCCAAGATTTGGCTTTCCTCAGGTGAGAAGCACATGAAAAGAGAAAAAAAAGTCCGAAGGTCTGAGACAGAGTTAGGAATAAGATTATGGGTAGGGTTAAGTTAGGATTAAGGTTAGGGTTAGGGCTGGAATACATGGCTGGAATGTGTGTTACCACCAGGAGTATCATTCTATTGGATTCCATCCAAAATACGGTGCATATCATAGGGGTGCGTAAGGTTATCTTTATTTATCTTTACATTTTCTAACTAATTTTGTAGTTTGTAACTCAGTTATTTTATAATTAATATAATAATATTAAATGGATATTTTAGCAGTGGACCATTAGACCAGACTGTTTGACGCAATCCCTTTTTTTTTTTTTGCCTGTCCTATTTGGTTCTTTAGCCGTCAGAATTGTTGTCTGACAGCCAGGAAGGATTTACTTTAACAAGTGGAGCATCACGGCCTTGCCATATTGGTCCATTTGATCGACCTTTGTTGTTACTATTTATTTTTGTTTTATTTTATTTTCAGTTGTTACAGATGGGACAGACATGGATTGGGGATTGGAAAGGGAGAAAGAAAGATGAAGGAAAAGAAAAACAGAGGAGAAGCAGGACAGTGAGAAAGGGCACTTACAAAGAAAGAAATCTCCCGGATCACCCGTTGAGAGAAAAAAAAACAGGAAAAAAGAGAAAACAAGCAAAGAAAGAGCAACATTATAAAAACACCATCACAATATTCTAGCTAACAGTAAATAACAGTTAATACTAAATATTGAATGTTGTTGTGGAGCATGCAGGATCGACAGCGCACAATTTGCTTTGAGGTAGAAGCCAAGAAAAGTGTACTTTGTGTCTATGAACAGTGAACACCCGTGTGCACACCTGTATGGATGAGCACGCTTGTATTCAAAAGGTTTCTCCATGTAACGATCTGCTAGAGGGTATGGGGAGCCATAGCCCAGTTCCCCAGGGCATGAAGCAGGTATGGAGGAGATCCAGGCCCAAGAGTGTGAGACCCCAAGGAGGACCACCGGAGGGGCATCCGTGCCACCCTCCTGGGAAGAGTGAGAGGATGGCAGAGGAATGGAGAAGAAGTGGACTGGTTCCAGTTTTTAAGGACAAGGGAGATGTGCAAAACTGTGCCATATATTGAAGCTGCAGGAAAGAGTTGGTGAAAAAAGTTTACGGAGAGAGAGGTGACCATCAGTGAGTAGTAGTATGGCTTCATAAGTAAATAGGAAGACCACAGAAAAGATTCAAGGGTATAGTGTATAGAGGGTTGGTGTAACAGAGGAGGATGCAAGGGATGGGGTGAGATGGAGAAAGATGATCTGCTGTTGAAACTCCTAAAGTGGGCAGTGGAAGAAGAAGATTCCCAAGTGTGATACATTTATTGAGTTAAGATGGTCAGTTTAGTGTAACGACCAAAAAATCTACTCAACTGGAAATAAACCTGAAAACAACAATTCCTCAGAAGTAGACTATTTCCATTCTAAGATATTAAACTACAATATTCATTTCTAAAAAGGAAGAAGGAATTGCTATCGAGGCTACAAGAGCTCCTGGAAATCAATGGAATCTAAAAAACAAACAAAAAACCCAACCCTAGGAAATACATTTTTTAATGAGTTACAGTCCAACACCATTTAAATCTCAAAGATTATATTTATTATAACATAGCATATCAACTCTTAATTCTCTAAATCGAACAAATTCTAAGGGGATGAAATGTCCACACTGTTTCTGTGGAATATTAGTGAGTGGAAAATGAAACATCTCAATAAAAAGATTTTCCTGCCACAAATGAGCTGAGATCTCTGTCAGTGAATATGCAGCATGATCCACAGCTACAGAAAAAAGGTTTTTGTGAACAAAGAAGAATTCCGTATACTGTCATTCATTGTTCCGTATGTAATTTAGCAGACGCCAAATGCAGTGTGCTTATTCTTCACCTGGGTGTAGATAGATAGGCACAAACATTAATTTAATTATCTAAAAATCATCTTTATATATATTTACCTTCACTGAAATATGAAAAAACAATATATATGAAATGTTATCTTTTCCAAACAAAAGGCTTGCCAACAGAGACAAATCATAGTCAAAATCTCATAATGAAGACTGATAATAAAATTGATGTTAATATTTATCATCAAAATTCTTTAATGATAAGTCACAGCAGCAAGCAATGCACTGCAATCTGTTAAAAGGAAGCGTTTTGTCAGGGTTTGTTACTTTGAGAGTTTAATGATATACCCCTTCCAATACAACTATCATCGTAATAATGAAAAACAGGAGTCCAAGGGCAACCAGGACTGTGGAGGTGACGTTAAGCTGGCGAGCAGTGGCCCCATAATGCCGTGCACCCTCCAAATCTCCAACCACCTTCCGGTCTCTGGCCTAAAAGGACAGAAACATATAGATTGTAAAAGTGTAGTTGGAGTTCATGGATATTAACTTGATCTATATGGTCAAATCAATATAATGTAGGTCATAGTAAGCAGACAGTTAAAAACTGATATATTTATTCATGCACACAAATGCACACACAGACACAAACACTCAGAAGAATAACAGATGCTCAAAAAACTGATTTAATTAACCTCACCTTGATAGAATAAATGAGAGCTGCAAGTCCAAGACAACAGGGGTTTGAGTAGGCAAAGCAGAGGAGGGACCAGATAAAATGGTCCTTTGGAGGCTCAGTGACGATGTTCACACTGGTGTGCTGAACCAATTCAGATCCTCCAGGCTGTCCAGAGGGCCCATCATAGGTCCTCACCTGCATTGGAACATAAGCTGGAGGTTTCATTGCTCTCACTGCTCTGAGCTCAGCTGCAGTTTGGAGAGAGGAAAGATGTTGAAAAGAGTTACTGACATTGATCATTTCATTTTTGAAGTCTTTGGGCAGTGAGGGAGTTAAAGCAGTTGTCTCTGTTAGAAACTGAACAGTAACAGCTGTGTCTTTGGGGTCCAGTTATTTCCAAAAGGTTGTTGTGTCCTCGCAACTGAATTTTTCTTAAATCTTTGAATTATGAATTCACTGAATAAATTAATAAATATAAATAAATAATGTAAATAATATGACTGTGAGTAAATGGTTTGGGACAAAGCACACGATTTTTTGAGGATTCTGCACTCACAGTTGGTGACACAAACTAAGTTAAAAGGAAGTGACATCAAAAATTGTCATGGTCCTGGGTCATGCGACCCAGTGTTTTGTGTTTAGCCTATTTTGATGTTTATTGTTTGTTTAGGTTCATTAAGTTATTCCAGCTCATTTGTAATTATATGACCCTTGTATTAAGCCTCCCTTGCTCTTCATGTGTTTATGTCTGTGTGTCTTGTGTTGTCAAGTTCATGCTGTCGCTTCTGTCATCTTCCCCTGTACTCCGTCTCCCTGGTTCGTGCGTCTACCTGTCATGAGTCATGTCTGCGTGGTTATGTTTAGTTCATGTCATGTCTAATCTCCATGTTTCCTGTTTTACTTTGAAAGTCTGTATTCAATGTCAGTGTGTTTCACCTGTCCTGTCGTTAGGTTCATGTGTGTCAGCTGTCCTCCCATGTGTGGCCACTTCCCCTGATCATCCTTCATGTGTATTTAGTCTCGGTGTTTCATGCAGTCTGTGTCGCGTCGTCTGTGTTCCCACCCTCCGTGTTTCCATGCCCGGTCTGTTGTATTCTGAGTCATAGCCTTACCATAGTTTATTCCCAGTTTAGGTTTCTGTTTAGTTATTGCTCTTGTGCTGCCCTTATTCTTGTTTGCTTCTTTTGTATTCATCAGCCACAATAAAAGGCTCGCTTTTGGTTTAAGTTCACTCCCGTATCACTTGTGTCTGCACATGAGTCCCCCACGCACTCTCCACACGGTCTGCTACAGCGGACTGTGACAAAAAATCTGCTTATGCACAGTGATAAAATCTCTCTTCTGCTTCTTACATTTAACAGGTCTGACATGCTGGATGAAATATGCTGAGTGTCAGAGGGCTTGAGCACATAAACATCACCTACCGCCCCTCCCCCAATTCTGAAGCCTACATTTAACACAGAACAAATGCAGATGTCGTCTTCTGAAAACTGTACTAACCACCACAGCCACAAAAATTCAATTTTGATTACAACTAAAGACAAACATAAAGATTCTTATGTCACATCTTCAATATATGGCAGAGAAACTTCAAGAAACAGTCTTTCACAAGATTCCCCCATTGTGCAACAGCCTCATCGTGAAAACAGACAGCATTGCCACACACACACACACACACAGCTACACAGACACAAAAGGAAATGGAAATTAAAAAGTTTTCCTACTTTGAAGTTCATCGTGCCTCTCCTCAGACTCTACTAAGACAACCCGATCTTCGTTTCCAGTATCACGAAACATGTCGGTCATTGCCCTCAGCCGTCTGTAATTATGTGAGCGTAACAGCGTGCTCAGCATACAGGAATTGAAAGCAGACGTTGGTTTCGTTTTACATTTGCGTTGTGCTGTGTGGGTTCAGGAATTTGCGTCATAGGCATGATCAAACAGGATAAGGAAGGAAGTTCAACACAGCCTTTGTTGTTACAGTGATGGTCAGAGATACAGAAGGTAAAACAAACATTGAACACTTTTCTAAGTAAATATATTTTGAAAGGTGGTATTGACATGAAATTCTCAGCAGATGTCAGTACCAATCCATCCAGTAGATGTCCATAAATTATTTGTTCTAATGAGAAACAGTACAGGGAAAGAATTTTGAACACACGATGAAATGGAGATGCAAAAAAGGCAAATAAAATCATGACACTGGAGGTCAGGACACAGAGGAGTGAAAAGAATTACCAGAAGAGTTATCCAGTTGCCAAGAAAGTAGTGCACCTGTGGAGCACTACAGAAAGATCTGGAATCAGCATGGAAAATTGTTTCAAAGACAATAAGTAATGAGGTCAACCAGTGTGACCTTTATGCACCATGCAAGATTCCATTGCTGAAGAAAAAGCAAGTTGAAGAGCGTTTAAACTTTGCTAAACAACATTTAGACAAGCCTGTGAAATACTATGAGAATATAATCTGGTCAGATGAGACCAGATGAGATGCTACAATACACACCATGTTTGGAGGTCAAAAGGCACTCCATATCACTCCACAAACACCAGACCAAGTGGAATCTGGAGGTTAGAATATGATGGTGTAGGGATGTTTTTCAGCAAGCGGGACTGACAGGCTTCGTATAATTGAAGGAAGGATGAAATTAAAAATATACAAAGACTATCTTGATAAAAATCTGCTCACTTTCAGCTTTTTTTAGAGAAAGAAAATAAAGCCAAAGTCACTTGACCTGAATCCAGCTGAAAGTCTGTGGAAAGAGCTAAAGCTACATTTTTCAATGCCTCTGCAAAATGGGTTAAAAAACATAAACAACTGTGGGATACTGTTTGTCCATGATTTGAACCGGGGGAACAAATTGTGGCAGGATGAGCGCGATATCATTTGTATCCCACTGTAACTTTACTGTATAAAGAGCTAACAGCTCCAAAACGTCAGGAGTAGTTAGTTATTACAAGAAGTGCTTGTGAACTAAAAATCAAGAATGTGGGATACTGTTTGTAAGTGATTTGGAGAGCCCATGCTCCCGACGCAGGGAAACCCAATTCTGCAGGGGAGACCTACCTTAGCACTTGTGCAGGTGAAGCCAGAGGGAAGATATGCTTCACCATATTTTGTAGTCTTTGGCTTGGAAGGAACTTGGTTCGGAAACATATTTGGCAATGCTTCATCTCCTGCTTTGCGTCTGTGTGTGTCCATGATGCTAGCAGTGTCCAAGCGGTCCTTTTTTTTTTTGTTTTTTTCATACAGCCCCCCCCCCCTCAATGGCTCTGCGGGGCGGGCCCCACACTTTGGGAACCTCTGCCTTAAAGTTAAAGTGGGGTTTGGCTGGTGGGAGCACCCTAAGATTGTACATATAGGGAATATAATTACATAGAAATAAGTGATCATGATAATTTGTACTGTCAGCTCCAGCAGATTTAACCTGGTGTACAGGCTGTGATCAGCTAAACTGTGCTGATGCTGCTCTGTGTTTCTTTGCCCTTTGTGAACTTAGCCAGCTCAACTCAATAAGATCTAACTCAGTGTTGGCCCCGTGATTTATTATCTTTCCAGGATATACCAGGACTTTCGCCCTGTACAAGTTCATGTGTCAGACATGATTTTTCCCTGGGAAATACAGTAATGTACATTTTCATTTAAAGCACTAAAAAGGTTCGTTTGTTGATATTTTTGAGCTGTTGAAATGATCTGCCAACTCACCAAATATCACCAAACACCATTTTTCTTTATTGTTATATTTTCTAACTAATTTTGTAGTTTATAACTCCATGAGTTTATAATTAATGTAATAATATCAAATGGACATTTTAGAAGTGAATCTTTAGACCAGACTGTTTAACGCAATCTTAGAGAGTGCGAGTTTGGCCACTTGGTGGTGAAACAGATAAAATATAAATGAGATAGAGAAGAAGCAAAATACAGTTGTTGAGGCCTGACTTTTGCAAGACAAAACACTCATAGTAGGGTAGGTCTGATCAATAATTACAATAAAGACATAATTAATTACCAAACAAACACAACTGCCACTTAACACACTGTGTTGTTATGTTAAGTTTTCAAGTTAATGATTTGTTTGTAGTTTTCAGGGGACAATGTTAAATACTGTGGTTTAAGGTAGAGATGGTCTGATGCCACGTTTTTATGTCCGATACTGATATCATAAATTTGGATATCTGTCGATACCGATATGAAGCCGATATAGTGTATTTTTTAATCAATAAAACTGTTTTTAATATCTTGCTGCATTTTGTACAAGTTCATACTTAAGCTTTAAAAAACAAAACACTGAAGCTATTCTGTTATATCTGTATGCAAAAACACACTGCACCCAAAATATTTCATAGTTCAGTAATACTGATCAATCTAGTAAACTTAAACCTACTCCATCCTCCCTATTCTGGTATTTTAAAGAGTACTTAGCAGAACTATTAAACAACCTAACTGATAGCGTTGCCAACTCCCTGCAAAAAAAATAGGGAACCACCCCCCACCCTCCGCCTCGTGATGACATAATCAACTTTAATTTAATGTACCTGTAAAAAAGAAATGCACAGAAATCAATTATTTTTCTACAATATTTAAAATAGATTCAACATTTTTCTTTAACAGAATTGCAGACTGCACAGATGGTACCTTCCCAAAGGAAAAAGTACTATAGCTTACTAGGGTAAATATTAGACTTAATAGTTAATATATACAGTAATAGACTTCTATACATTTTACATCAGATTAAAACTTTGGGTGTAATATTCAGATAATACTCCTCCACATACTCCTCCGACAAGCTAAGGTTATGAGCTGAGTTACGCCATGTCGCAAGTTTTGTGAGGTGCTTTTGTGATATTTAATAGATCGGATTACAGTTCTTTATTTCCCTCCGATATACGATGTAGTAATTTAGGTCAGTATCGATACTGATACCGATACGCAATATCGGATCGGTCCATCCCTAGTTTAGGGTATGTAATGAACCTCTTACCATAAATGGCCAAATCTAATCTCATAATAAAACTTTTTTTAACTTAAGAAATTGATCTGATAAAGGTTCATTGTGTCATAATATTTATACAGACCAAATGCTGACATCCCCTGGCCATCAGTTACTATTAAATCTAAGTGGAGGGAAGAATGTAAGCAAGCAAGAAATTTATTAATATATCACTTTCGGAACAGCTCCCAGCTGAAAACAAAGTGATGTACATTTGATATGCCAAAAACTATACAATGAATAAAGATAAGCAAGAAGTCACATGTAAAATGATGGTTAGAATTAATTTTAAAATAATAAAATCAGCACAAATAGCAAAAATAAAATAGTATAAAATGATAATTAGAACTGCATTCAAGACAATAAAATCAGCACATTAGATTACACTAAAACAACAAACTCAGGGGCATACTGTGTCATACGCCAACAAGTAAAAATTGGTTTTAAGACGTGTTTTAAAAGAGCACAATGAAGGGGCCTCTCTAATGTGCTGGGGCAGATTGTTCCAGAGATTAGGAGACCCAGGGGGTGATTAAGGACGAAGAAGCTCAGAGAGGTAAGGTGGGGCAAGACTGTTTAAAAGTAGTGCAACAGGCTTTGAACCACCTGCAGATGAGAGAGAAGAAACTAACTCCAAAATACAGTGCATTAGAGTAATCTAAACGAGATGAAATAAAAGCATGGATTACTGTTTCAAAATCCGGCCTGGATAAAGCGCCTTAAATGATAAAAACTGTACTTGACAGTAGCCCTAATTTGAGTGTTCAATTTAAAATTACTGTCCATCATAAAACCCAGGTTAGTAACAACAGGTTTAAAATACTCTGCCAGGGGTCCCAAATCAATAGTGGTCCGATAGAACCAAACATAGTCAAATCTATAAGAGTGGTGACTTAGTGCTATGGAGGTTTTTAAAACCTTTTTGGGACACATCTAAAATACCATTCTCATTTTTAAAAAATCCATCAATTGGCAATAAACAATTTTCTCTAAGATTTGGAGACAGGATCACTTGGAGAACCACTGGTGGCCGACCACATTTACATGATCTGCGCAACTTTGTTTATTATATTCATTGTTTTCATGAATGGCCAAATAGTCTGTTGCAATGAATTATGGGATGCCTTTTTCCCCTCCCTTTTTATAAAGGATGCTCCAGTGCTAACGGAAGCAACAAAGGAAGCACCGAAGCACCTTTCCTTAGTATTTGGATAATCGGAGCAGCTTTTATAATGACCGCCACAGTTCCTAACTGAGAGACTAAGCAAAATGAACTATTAGAACACACCCCTATTTCTGAAATTAAACAATGGGTCTGAAGCTGTGTTTTTCTTTACAGAATTTGAGGCTTAATAACAAGTCAAAGAAGCAACTAACTTAATCTCGGTGTAAATGATAATAGTACGGTTCTCTGTGAGCATAATCAGATAGATTTGCAGTCACAGAACCTTAATTAAGATTAAAATCACAAATCCAATGACAAACAGGACGGTGGCGGCAATGTTAAGCCCACGGGCAGTGAGCCCATGACGTCGTGCACCCTCCAGATCTCCGGCCACCTTCCGGTCTCTGGCCTAGAAGGACAGAAACATATACACTGTAATAGTGTAATCATCTTTATCCCAATGTAAATTGAAACTGAAAATGTTAAGCATAGCCTAAGTTTCATTTTCTGGAAAAGTTACGCTTCCTGTTTTTAGTAAACACAAGCAATTATAATAATAATCCCAGTTGCCCGTTTTTTGTGCCCATATAGTTTCCTTGTTACTATCAGTGTAGGAAATAATGCAAACTGTATAACATATTTAAGATATTTCTTTCATCAAATCATTTATCTCTATTTTTATCTTTATTGTGCTGTGTACATTGTTGTGCTTCAGCCCAAACTGTTCTTATGACTCTTGCAATGGTCTTAGTTAGGACTGAGTTTTCCTTGTAAAGTATTAGAACACACTTTTCCATTGATTTAGTCAGTTTTTTGCACTTCAGTTTTGGTGTTTGTTGTGTTAGATGCCATGATCATGTAGCTTGATTTATATGGTAAATCAATGTATATTAAGATATGGTAGGCAGGCAGGTATATATTCGCATACAAACACACCTTGATAGAATAAATGAGAGCTGCAAGTCCAAGACAACAACAAGGGTGTGAGTGGAGAAAGCAGAGGAGGGACCAGATAAAATGGTCCTTTGGAGGCTCAGTGACGATGTTCACACTGGTGTGCTGAACCAATACAGATCCTCCAGGCTGTCCAGAGGGCCCATCATAGGTCCTCACCTGCATTGGAACATAAGCTGGAGGTTTCATTGCTCTCACTGGTCTGAGCTCAGCTGCAGTTTGGAGAGAGGAAAGATATTGAAAAGAGTTACTGACATTGATCATTTCATTTTTGAAGTCTTTGGGCAGTGAGGGAGTTAAAGCAGTTGTCTCTGTTAGAAACTGAACAGTAACAGCTGTGTCTTTGGGGTCCAGGGGTCCAACTTTCCAAAAAGGTTGCTATGTCCTCTCACCTGATTTTTTTTTTTAAATCTTTGAATTGTGAAATCTGAATTCAATGAATAAATTGATAAATATAAATAAATAATGTAAATGATATGAATATGAAACATGTTTTGGGACAGAACACACGATTTTCTGAGGATTCTGCACTCACAGTCGGTGATACAAACTAAGTTAGCATGCAGTGACATTAAAAATTTGCTTACGCACAGTGATAAAATCTCTCTTCTGCTTTTTACATGAAGCCATTCTGCAGGGGAGGTAGGTCTCCCCTGCAGAATGGTCTGACTTAGTGGATGAATCTGCTGAGTGTCAGTGGGCTTGAGCACATAAACATCACCTATCGCCCTTCCCCCAATTCTGAAGCCTACATTTACTATCTTGATTGCTTTTCTGTGAGTGAGCACAGAACAAATGCAGATTACTTCTTCTGAAAACTGTACTACCCTCACCAATACTGCACTACCAATTACACCAATTACAACCAAAGACAAACAAAGAAGATTCTTATGTCACAACTTCAATATATGGCAGAGAAACTTCAAGAAACAGTCTTTCACAAGATTCCTCCATTGTGCAACAGCCTCATCGTGAAAACAGACAGCATTGCTACACACACACAGCTACACAGACACAAAATGAAATGGAAATTAAAAAGTTTTCCTACTTTGAAGTTCATCGTGCCTCTCCTCAGACTCTACTAAAACAACTGAATCTTCAGTTCCAGTATCACGAAACATGTCGGTCATTGCCCTCAGCTGTCTGTAATTATGTGAGGTCCGTACTCAAATTCCATTAACAGCCAAGTTCCCAGTATACAGGAGTTGAAAGCAGACGTTGGTGGTTAGTTTCACATTTGTGCTGTGCTGTGCTTGGTTCAGCTATTTGCGTCATTCACATAATCAAAAGAAGGAAGTTTGATAAAAAATAAATATTGAACGCTTTACCAATTTTCTAAGTAAATATATTTTGAACGGTGGTATTGACATCAAATTCTCACCAGATGTAGGCAACTATCCAGCCAGTAGATGTCCATAAGTTTTATGTTATAATGAAAAACAGTATAGTGAAAAAATCTGAGCCTATGAGAAACTGGAGATGCAAAAAAGGCAAGCAAAATCAAGACACTGGAGGTCAGGACACAGAGGAGTGAAAAGAAATATCAGAAGAGTTTAAGAACTTTTAAGCTTTGCTGAACAAGATATAGACAAATCTGTGAAATACTCTGAGAATATAATCTGGTCAGATGAGACCAGATGAGATGTGTTGTGGAAGTTTTCCATTTAATAAGGCCTGCAGACAAGCGGTGAGCGGTAGCTAACATTCTTTAATCAAAACAAGAACAGGTGAGGGACTGCATCATCACGGGGCAGACGATCAGCAGAGTCCCGCCCAGAGCCTAGTATGGCTCTTTGTTAAATACCCTTACAGGAACAAAAAGCAGTAGACAGCTGTTTCACACCTTTGATTTTTCCCCCCAAAGAAAGTTTCACCTCTTACAGTGGAGAAAGAGACAAAAGACCTCGTAACCAGTTTCCCTCATTCTCCTTCTTATCTCGATAGTCCCACAAGAGATGCTCAAGGGTCTCATCTTCATCACAATTTACCAGAAGACGCCCGAGAGATGAGCCACACCACATCCCTCATATTCTCAGCAATGATCTTATCTTGAATATTTTTAACTATCAATAAATTTTCTCCCATTTCTGCATGTCTATATTGAATTATACCTTCATTTTTAATATCATTAATTGTATTATACTTTTCCTTTGTACTAATCTTCAAAATATCGAGATTATGTTGGCCTTGGTTCATTAAAGTCCTTGTCTTTAAATTAACTTTGTCTGTGTGTGTTTCAGGTACTGCACTCTCAAAGACTGAATGAACCAGCATTGCAGTCAAGGGGCCTTGTGAGCATCACATGGAAGGTTGAAGCCGCCCACTGCAGCTGTATGGCCGGAGTCGTGGAGACCTGCACCCATGTCACTGCTCTTCTGTTTAAAGTAGAAGCAACAGTGCGGATCTGTGGCACAAGGACTGTTACAGATGAATCTGCATACTGGGTTTTGCCTGGTAATATGACCAAGATACAGCCAGAGGTCGGCCATAAGATAGACTTCTCTTCTTCAGCTGCCCAAAAAAAGGCTCTCAATCAAAACATAAACAGACCATCCGTATTGAAAGGTAAAAGGAGCCGTCCTCAAAAAAGAAAAATCCCACTTGCTACTGTGGAGGAGTTGTCACCGCCATTGGATACTTTGCTGGAACACAGTAAAGCTGTGGGTTGTGGGAATGACCCATAATGTTTTATCTAGGGGTCTGGATTTATGCATGAAGTGCACTGCCATGTAAATAATTTGCATTTACTGAACATGTACTGACTGAGTACCACTGTTCAAAAGATGAATGAAGAAACAAACTGATTTTTGCCCCTTTTTTTTAATTAAAACCACTATATAGAACATAACATCAGTAACAATGTAGAATCCATGTCATTCATAGTTTACAAATGACAAAATGTTTACATAAAAATCATGACAGCGTTTATATGATATCACCCACTACTAACATTACTTAATTTACTGTATCGTTTTAAAAATTACATTAATTATACAGCACAAGACTTATAATATATATTATATATTAATATTTAATATTAATATTATATATCAATATTTAACAAGAACAAGTTTCATTGTCCCTGGTTTTACTACCACACCATTCACCAAAATGCAGCAAACCTTCACCATTTTTATCCAGAAGGGTCACCTCTTCACCCTCACATGGAAGAAGTAATCTGATTGGCATGGTGGTATGTTTGAAGCAGGAATTTCGGAGTGCCCCTTGCTGGAACCCAGTCACGATGTGTTTCATCAATTGCTATGACCTCAGAGTGCATCGAAAATAAAACTAATAGGCTATATGAACATATTTAGAACTTAGCGGAATGAAAATGTCTGGAGCACCAACAGATATTTGGAGATGGAAGAGAACTGAATACCAGCTCGTCTCACAGCTGCTATCCAGACTAGTGATGGGAATTCCGGCTCATTTAGTCACTCGGCTCTTCAGCTCGAAGCAGCTCTTCAGTTATTTGTGCTTAAATAAGTATTTAACAACAATATAAATGATGCACAAATAACTACTACTGTAAAATTGCTTTTATTTAAATGTTATCATATAATATCTTTATTTATTCACAGCACACAAATGTAAAAATATATATAAAGTACAAAAACAACTATTTAATTACATTTCAGCTTTTCCTTTAAACCAACAAAATAAAACAACAAAACACTGCAACACAACACAATAAAAATCGATTAAATTATGCAAAACAAAAAGAAAAAGATGAACAACCAATCTTAATTAAATGTAGGATCTTACTTCCAGTATTGCATCTGCTGAGGGATTCCTTCTAGTAGTGTTTCTAGTTGCTCATTCTTCAAAGAACACTATTAAGCATTAGTTATTCATCTGTTAAGCATTAGTTAATGGTTACTTAATTATCTCTACAGCATCTACAAAGTATTTCTCATAATCAGTTAATAGTTTACAAGCACTGCTTTAAACACTTTATTCGTGATGAATAAGCTAATGTATAACACTCCTTATTAATTATTTTTTCTTGTTCTAAAACTCATTGATTAATCATTTATAAACACTACTCTGCATCAGTTACAAACCTGTCATTTCAGGATGTTCAATGGTATACAAAATCATTGGTAAAAGGTAAGTAGATGGTTAGCATATATAACCCAGAGTAAAATCTGTTTTACTAGAATTTAGTAATTTCCTGCCATTGAACGCATCACAAATACATGACTCCAACCACATGACTTTGCTCAGCCGATCGGCTAATTGGCTGCTGCCAGTCCAAACAATTTGATTTTGATTTTTGATTTGACCGATAGTTGTTGAATAACAAATGTTGTGAAGCTATATAATATGTATTTAGCAGTTGAAATGTTTTAGTTAAATCCTTATTGGTTAAATATACTGTTTGTTTATTTATTTATAAATTGTGTACACAGGAACAAGAATGACTTAATGTATTTAGCTTAACTGGCTGACATTTTTGTATTATTCTTGTGATTTCTTATTGGCCTTGTTTATTTAATGCAGGCCAGGTGAACCTTTTTGGGTATGGAAAAGGATGGCGAGCCAATGAACGGCTATAGGAGCAGGAATCATTCTGCATTGAAGCTTCCACTGGTTGGGTAAGAAGCTATCAAAGACGACGCTCTGTCCCCATTTTCCGAATACACTGATTTCCACAATCATACACACCATTCCCCCCGTTTATGGACAATAGCACTTGGACATCTCTCATGGACATTCAGATAAAACTCATTGACTTCAGTGTGGATCAGTGTTTTTGATGTTAACATGTGTTATTTATGGGGAACTTTTTTTGAGAATCTATATTGCTTGGTATAAGCCAGAAGAATTTGCTTAGTTGTCTTTGTGCACCCCCACTGGGTTTTTTGATTAATTGAATAGCTGCAGCAGGAGTGATTATTTAAGTTTTCCTTTTCTTTTCTTGTTATTTTTCTTTGCTTTCGGTTAAATACATGGCATGGTACCTGCAAAAGCATTTTGTGTTGTGTGTATTTATTAATTACTGCCCATCAGCTCCAGTAGCATTCCTAAATCTTCTGATTAATAATAACCTAATATTTCACTCAATACCTAGCCTGTGTTAATTCATTAGCGCTTCATCAGTGTTACATTTCTTGGCGAGCCAGCCAGGAGCTGATTTGGTTAATAATTAATATATATTCAAACTGACTGGTTTGTAACTGATGCAGAGTAGTGTTTATAAATGATTAATCAATGAGTTTTAGAACATGAAAACATAATTAATAAGGAGTGTTATACATTAGCTTATTCATCATGAATAAAGTGTTTAAAGCAGTGCTTGTAAACTATTAACTGATTATGAGAAATACTTTGTAGATGCTGTAGAGATAATTAAGCAACCATTAACTAATGCTTAACAGATGATTAACTAATGGTTAATAGGGCTTTGGAGTTGACGTCACACCGCAATGCATTGTGGGAGCGCGGCACCATTTTCGGGGTCTATGAATCAAAACAAACACACTGTGTTGGAACGACGATTACAAGATGCTTAAAAGCAGCTCAAAAGAGAATGGACTGTATAGAGACTGATTGCGTCCAGAGGCGAAGCGGCGGTACTTGCAGAAAATAGCGTGCATTGGAAATGTGGACCCGTATGAAATACGGCCGTGGAGTAGAAACCCTGAAGACCAACCGCTACTGACGTAGCCTGATATATTTTCGTACCTTATCTGTGGAATCAGCGCGTACAAGTCGTCATTCAAACAAAGGGAAGTCAGCTCGAGTACTGCGTGTGAAATGCGTTTGATTTCCCTGCAAACATTCACATTAGTGCAGCATAAATTCATTCATGAGGGGAAATTACAGTGAGAACATGTGGAGGCTGTTAGGTGGATAACATAGTGAGTTCAGTGCATTGATGTGACATTGTCCTGAAGGATTTAGTTATTCTTTATGGTTAAAGAAATTGCACTAATTAATTCATATTTATTATAAATAATTCTAATTATACATCTTGCTTCCATATTTGTATCTTGTGTCACTAAAAATACATTTTATTTTAATTTTATACATTGATTAATGACCTGCAGAATCTCCTTATCATATTAAGTGATTCATAATTGTCACTTTATGCTTTCTCCATCTCTAAAGTGATTACATTCTTGCATTACATACTTTAGGTTCATTTTCTGCAGGCAGGTTTCTGACAGAGAACAGGCAGATTTACACTATAACATGCAGCGTTCTATAGATGGATACATAAAGAAATGAAAAATTACATGTTACGTTCCCCCCGAAGGGGTCTAGGCATGCGAGTGAGGGGACCAGTAACAAATGAGTCCAGAACAGAATGAAAGGAAAACAGGTGTTTTTAGTAAATAAAATAGTCTTTGTTATAGACAATCTTAACATAAAGAGCCGGCAACGCCGTTTTACCAATAACACTTGGAAAAGGGAAAACAAGGTTGCAACAACAAAGAACACAACAACCAAACAAAAACTCCACAACACGAGGAGGCACTTCCAGGGGCCCACAAGCTAGTGATGTGTCCTGTGTGTCGAAGCTTCGAATCGCGCGTCGGGTAATCGCGGGGGCGTTTTTCTGAAGCGCGTATCGAGGCTTGCGTTGATTACGTATGCAGTGACGTTCGAGGCCTCGCGGGCAGTCCGTACCACGTGACTGATTCGGGAACTGGTTCACCGGTTCGCGCCAGATTCGAAATAAAATGGGCAGCAAAACACAGCTGATTCCCTCATCACATCGTGTTGTGGAATTGGATTACGTACGTGTTACATAGCTACTGGAGTACTGAA